AAAAAAATAACAGCTGATTGAATTATGTGATTTTGATTCTTATATCATGAAAACACTTGTGTTACTAACGATATAAGACKTATTGTTAGCAACCAATCATAATGGAATTGAATCAAAAAATATAAAACTTATTTTTATGATCATTCGATATCGAAAAAAAAAATAGAAATAAAGTTATTAGATTGAGCACTAGGAAAAGACTCAATTTGCATTATTTGCAAATTAATATCCTTTGACAAACATATTCAAAAAAAATAACGAATAACAACACGTCATTTGTATGTCTAATACAGTTAGGCAAGTGTATACTATTCTGCTGTAATTTAAGTGTCAGGTGGATCAATATAATGGATGTGTTAAATTTCAATCCAATGTTGTAAAATCATTATAAACGAAAAAAGAATGCATACCTCTCATTTAAAAATGTAATTGTGTGAATTAAATATTGTATTATACACCTTTCATATTATCTTCAAGCTACTACAAAAAATATTTTTAAATTACAAAAAAATACCTAAAATCGTTGTTTTTGGTTAAAATATCTCATTTTGTTTAAATTTAAAATTAAAATGTCTATAAAAAAAACTGTGCACCAATTTTTTATTTATTTTTTGACTATTGACTGTGTATAAAGATATAAAAATAAAACATTCATCATTAAAAAATCAATACTTTCATCCCTCCGCTCAGAATATAAATTACGTATTTTATTTAAAATGTTTGTATTAAGAATGTGTTACAAGTTGCGATCAAACCCAGTCCCGATATCTCCTACTAAATATTACAATGATTTGATATTTATTCATATAACAGTGCATCAAAAAGTATGTATTAAACTATTATTTTATGAATATTTAGAAAAGCACATGTGTAGAAAATGCATTAAATAAACAATCGGTTTATTTATAACAGAATTTATATTTTATTTAAAAAAACCAATCTTCACTGTATTTTTAACTGCTTAGTGTTTTCTTACAGTTTTATTACAAATAAAATAAAAACTATCAAATGTCACAAGTTAAAAAAAAAAATAAACGCCGTTAAAGTTCCTACGATTATACAATCAACTGTATTAAAAACGTAATTTAAATTACGAACATTTTTAAAAATGGACATTCATAATTTCAAAAAAATATTATATTTATTCATTTGAAAATTTTCTATTGAAAGGATGGGTATGAGACCTTTGTTTATGGCCGGATATGTGTGTTTAATTTTTTTCACTTTCATGTTTGTTAGTGAACTTCGTAATGTTAACTTTGAATATTTAAATCGTAATATATTTTTTTTTAATTTCATAATTTAAAATTGAATACTTTTCTAAAAATATCAATGCTTAATATCGAATGATTTTTAAACGATAAGCATTTACAGTTTAAAAAAAATGGGTAGTGGACTACACATTTTGTGGTTGAAACCAAAACTATTATTTTTATAAGTAATTAATGTTTACTGTTAAATAATTTTACTATTTATTATTTAATATCTATATTATAAGTATAACAATTATCTCTATGGTTCAATAAAATGCTTATATTTTCAATTATAATTAAATTATTACAAAAAAAAAAAAATTTAACTAAGGAATACTAAAAAACTAAAACCCTAATTTCTTGTCAGGTGGCACTGTTGGAAGCCTTCCTTTTATACATAAAAATATTTATGTCGTCATTTATTGCATTTCAGTGTTAGACGCCACATCAAAAGGTCCTGAAGGACTTGTAGACGCAAACACATTTAGTTTCGGTAATTTCGATCAATGCATTGAAACAAAATCTAAAAATCTCGATATATCTGGTGGATACTCATTARTAGATATTAATTTTCAACCAAGTATTCAAGTATACCCTGGATTCTATAATAACGACCACTTGAAAGATTACGAACCATTTGACCAAGATGCATCGACATGGGAAGCACTGAAGGCAAGTAACAAATATTGTTTGATTTACAAAATATATTAACCAACACTTAAAATAGTTAACGTTTTTGTTTAAGTTTATATAGTATGTAGTATATATAGCTATATAAGTATTCTTAATGTTTAACAATGGCCAAAATGTGAATTGTCTATAAGCTGAGTCCAAGACATAAAGCTAAAAGGGTCATGAAAAAATGGCCAAAAGAAAAATAATAATAATAATAATAAAAGAAAAAGTAAAAGTAAAATAAGGTAATGAACAAGAAGACTTACTAAGACTTAGAAAAATCTTTTGAAAATAAAATATTAAACCAATTTTTTTTTTAATATCCATTAATAACTTTAGCTTTATACTGTATTTTTATTCATTTCAATTTTCGTTCCCAAGTCTGATAGAAAAAAAACTCGTTTATAGTTTGTTCAACATTAAGTTATAATAAATAGGATTGGCATAGCTGATATTCTAATTAAAAATTAAGCATTTCATATTGATTTTGTAGTTGTAATTTTTTATTCTTTTATTACCATTTATTGTTTAAAATAATTTATTAAAAAGAACAATGTATTTTTGACTATTTTTCTTATAGACTAATTGTCTGTGGGTGTATTTTTATTGGGCTATTATTATTTTTGTGGCAATTATAACCTATTTCCTCATCACATCGCGCGTATTAATGTATTATACAAAATTTTATTTTATTATTTAATTTTTAGATACTTTTTAGTTTTACGTATTTAACTTCAATTTATGTGGCGTATTGTAATCGTCTAATTTAAATTTAAAAGTTTTTCGTTTAAAGTCATTTTTTTTTCTTTAGCACAACGTGCAAGAGGCTTATGTACAAAGGCACAAGTTTCAATGGGGCGTGTGTTTACCAGATACTTGTCAATCAGAAGACGTCCAAAAGATCGTGAATAACGTATTAATACCAGAAATGAACCGTCATGGATTGGAAGGTAATGTGACCATTGACCCATTGTTGCACACTTCCAAAGAAAATTTGTATAAATTTACTGCGGGTTTCTTCTTTGTCTGGTACGATTAAAAATAATACTTTTATATTCTTCAGTGTAATTTTCACAGTTATTTTTTACTTTTGTAGTGCACTGTACGTGATGATCGGACTGCTTGTCGTCGTAGGAACCTTATATGATTTTATTTTTTTACATTACCGACCAAAATCTGAACATGGACCAATGAGTAAGTTCAAGTGATTTCATTTTTGTAATTACCGTTTATTATTTTTTTAAATATTATTTTTWATTTACTCTACAGTCATATTTTTATATTTTATTAGAAAAAATCATGAAACCATTTTCACTTATCTCAAACTTGGAAAGACTTATGAAACCGTCGGAGACCGAAGAATTTTCAATTATAAACGGATTTAAAGTATGTGCAATTCTACAGGTCATAATTGGTCATAGGTGGTTTATTGAGCTTGGAAACCCACAATCAAATCCCAATTTCACTCATTGGGTAWGTGCAATTCAACGCACAAAGCATTAATATCAAGCAACAATTATTTTTTCACAACGTGTTTTTTGTTTAGATGGTTCACAATTTCTGGTTGGGCTATTTTAAATGCACCATATTTTTGGAAACATTCTTTGTAATTAGTGGATTTCTCACTTTCTATCTAATAACTAAACAACTTACAGAAAAAAAACATTTGAACTTTATACCCATAATGATTTATAGATGGTTGAGGTACGTTGTAAATACCGWTAGCTATATAATTGTCCGGATGATATTCCGTTAATTAGTAGAAAAAATATTAAGCATTCTTTATTTCAGAATATTTCCAGTGTACGGAACACTAATAATCACATATATTTTCATACTTCCATATTTAAATAGTGGTCCTTATTGGAGGATGATTGTGTACAAGGAATCAGAAAGGTGTCAAAACAACTGGTGGACAAACGTACTTTTTATCAACAATTACGTTCACACTGATGAATTGGTAATTACAAAATATATAATATATTATTTACACTATTTTTCATCAATATTTTCTAATGGTATGTTTAAAGTGTATCATACCCGCATGGTATTTAGCTTGCGATATGCACTTCTTCATAGTTGGCACATTACTCACTTATGCAATTTGGAAGTGGAGGAAACAAGGGCTGATGATACTTGGAGCGTGTTTGACTTTGTCAACAGTAATTCCTGCCTATATAATAATAAATGAAAATCACCGGGGAACGGCTGATATTACTCCACAGTAAGCAGTAATAATAATCAAAATGATTTGATCTGATATTAAATTTAAATCAATTATCTACTCATTTTCCTGAATACCTAGAATTATCCCAATTGAATACCATATGTTTTAGTTCATTAAGCAATTATTTGAATAAAAGTTGTTGATGGATACATAATATGTTCAAATAAATTKTATTTAYTTTGATTTACAGAATTCATATAATTATTATTATTGTTGATGTTWTAATATTAATACGTACGAAATCTTAAATATAATAATTACTATCTCTTATATTTTCTGGAAACGACATAACTTATTTTTTAAATATAAAAATTAATTATTTTAAATAACTATCTGTRCAACGTCATATTATATTAATTGATAAAGAATTTATAAAACATTTTCTATTCATTTATTTATTTTACGCCATTTTATTTAAACAGGAAATAAGGGATTTTAATTCAAAGTTTTTTGAAAAAATTATTATTTGCGCCAATTTTAATATTTAATTCAAATTATATTTACATGCATAACATAAATCATTTCTATATTATAGAAATCTTAAAGATCTCAGTAAAGAAAGATTCTACACTGAAGTTTATATTAAAAGCCATATGAGGTCAATGACTTACTTTATTGGAATCTTGGCAGGATACATGTACACGAGGTTAAAGGAAGCCGATTACAAGTTGTCATTGGTAATAAAGAGCTTAATGATTATATTTCATACTTAATTGAATTCAAGATTAGTATTAGTTCAAAAACTTATTAAATAATTTAACTGTACTATTTTGTTTCTATATTTAACTATATTAATTTATTGCCATTTGATAAAATATAATTTTAGAAATAAATATTTTGCATACATAATTTGTTTATGCACATTAGGTACTTTAACTATTATTGTACATTAACTTTAAACTTTTTTTTAATTTATAGAAAAGTCGTATTTTTTGGGCTCCAGTTGTTCTTATGATTGGCAATATTATATACTTGAGTTCTGGAACATTCTTTACATTAGGACACCGATATGTAAATTACGAGCACGCAATATACTTTACACTCGGACGACTTGTGTGGTCTATTCTTATCTCSTATGGGATTATTGGTCACGGACTCTCCGGATTTGGTATTCTATTTAAATCTTAAAATATACGTAATTAACACAATTTTTACTTTTTGTTGTCTGTGTATGAAGGGGTTTGCATCAGCGGCTTTTTAGGTCATCGAGTTTTCCATGTTCTAGGAAAATTAGTTTTTTGCATTTACATGTACCAAGAAATCATTCAACTCCAAACGATTGGAGCCATCCAGACACCTACATACCAAAGCTTAACATTAATGGTAATT